TCATGTAGTAATACGAATATTTAGGAGTACGGAACGCGAGACATATATTAAGATTTTGACTTTTTGATGATACGCGGCAGTACTTTGTAAATAAGCAATACAAATTTTCAGTAAATAGCTAAAAAATAAATAAATAAAAAATAAATGTTCATTTAATAGCTAAAGGAAAAAAAAATCACAATCATGCGAATTCCTTTGTTTTCTATTGTCTTAAATACGCTATAATCGGGTTTAGAATAAAGTCATTTAATCCGTTTAATTTGGTGATTAAATTGTAATAGAGTAAATAGACACAAAAGAAAGCAATGCAACTAGAGCTCGTTAAAGTATATTAGTGCATGTATCCATTTCACGTTTTTTTTACTTAACTCTTTTTGGCTAGTAGAGTGATCGCACTTAGAGTGGTTTTCATTAACCGGTGAAACACACTTTAGCGTATTTATCACTATTACACTTTGGCTCTATTGTTTTTTATTGTCTCTACGCGACTATTACGATCTATTACACTCTAATTATTACACTTTGTTTCAAGGGTTTTTGAAAACCACTCTAACCCGTGCAATTAATAGTGCTATTTACTTGTATTTAGTAAATCGTGCATGCGATACGCAAATTAAATTGAATTGATACAAATGAAGCATTCAATACCGTCTTGCTTCAGGTCCACTTTTAGTACAAATTAGTACTTAGATTTTGTACGGTTTAGGGGAGCAAGGATGACCGAGCGGTTAAAACGCCGGTCTATCACCGCTGTGGTCCTGGTTCGATTCCCGGTCCGGGACTATATGTGATTTGAGTTTGTARGCTGGTTCTCTTCCTTGCTCCGAGGGTTTTTCTCCAGGTCCGCTGGTTTTTCCTCCCTCAGTCAAAAACTAGCTGTGAGGAGTGTCGTGTAGTAAAATAATGAATGTTGAGGTAGTGAGTATGAGTGAATATATAGAGGGCCACAAGTTTATTAGTCTAGAAACTATTACGTGCTACCCTCTCAAAAAAAAAGACTTTACTTTTACTTTTACTTTACGGATTAAGTGCGTTCACTCTAGAGTGCAAACACTAAAACTGTATATACATAAATACCACTAAATTATGCTAATTCTATTGTTTTCTATTGTTAAATAATTAGCACTATTTTGTAGTAAATAGTAAAAAGTGTTGTACGCTTTTAGTGTTTACACTTGTTTTGCATGACTTAATAAATCATATCTATGTATTATGTTATTGGATTCATTAAAATGAATTAATAAATTAAAATGAATTAATAAATCATTGTGTACTATGTTATTGGATTTATTAAAATTTTATCTGATAAATGCACATTACGAGGAAGATTTCATGAAGAAATTCGAGCAGTTGATACAAATAAATTACTGCAACTTTCTAAAATATGCGGACTTCAATGATCAAACATGAACCGCCATTTCGTGTTTTCATATTAAAACCCAAGGGTTGTGATAGCCTGCGTAGCAGCCCTAAGGGGATTGGGGAGGGCCGGCCGAGGGCCGCTACGCAGGCTAGGCTGTGACATTTTGATGGTTGCAGGATCACAGGCAACCCAAGCAAAGCATTGGAACTTTAATTTAAAGTGAATGTATGGAATTCAATTTTTTTTAAATAAAACTTTATAGTGTATGGAATTTCATTTTTTATATATATATATATGTACATCTTACCTTAATCTTATGTGTTGCTGATGTTATTTTTAAACATTGCTGTGTGTGGTTTTGAAGAGATTTAGAGCTATGGCGATATTTTTCGTTAAAAATAGCTCTAAATCCCTTCAAAGCCACACACAGCAATGTTAAATAACA